ACAGAGCCCCGCTTAGCCCTGGGGCTGGAGGCTGCAGGAGCTGTGCGGACAAAGCCAGGGCGCAGCCCACAGGTGTCTGGGCCTTGAGCCCCTCCCCCCAGCCCGGCCCTCAGACTTTCACGCTGCCAGGAGATGCGCTGGCCCTGCACCGCGCTGCCCGTGCCCCCCACTCCTCCTCCTCCTCCTCTTCCTCCTCTTCCACCGCCCCTTCCGCCTCCCCTCCCCCTTCCCTTCCTTCTTCCCTGCTGGCCAGGCAGCTGGGCGGGGCCCCTGGGGCTCTGAGGCCCCCCTGGGCAGGTGCCAGCAGCCGGCCAGTGGCCGGCAGTGTGGGAAGGCAGGCGGGCCTCCCTGGCAGGGCGGGGACTCCGGGCCTTGCCGCTGTCTGCGTGAGGTGTGACGAGCGGGAGACTGCTCGGCTCCAACAGACTGAACTCTGTCTTTACTGTCTTTCAGATGGCAGCAGTGACAATGGGCTTTGGAGATCCTCTCTCACCTTTGCAATCGGTCAATAGAAATGCTCACTTCTTCCGGGGCTCATGTCCTTAGTCAGGGCTAGAGGGGGGCAGTGCAGCCCGCGTGCGGGGGACCTTGCTCCCCTAGCTGGCCCTGCCCGCCAGCTCAGGAGGAGCGCAGCAGAGCGCCAGGCGTGGCGGGGCCAGTGGTGTGGGCGGGCACCCACCCAGGACCGCCCCTGGGGAGGCCTCCATCTGCTCTGAGGGCCCGCCTTAAAACTAACCGGCCAGGTAACTGTGGAGGGCAGCTGGCCAGGAGGGTAGCTGCCTACGCCAGGCCCACCTGCACCCATGCCGCCTGCACTCACGGGGCACGCCGCCCAGGCCTCCAGCTCTGCCAGTCTCCAGGCTCCCGGGCTCCTGGGTTGAGGTCAGGCCCCTGAGGAGAGAAGGGTCCTAACTCATGGCTCCATCAGACCCTGGAGGAAGTATGGATGGATGGGGTTGGGGGGCTGGGGGGCCCTGAGTGAGTGAGAAAGGGCAAGGATTTGAGACTTGGGCCCTGTCAGCAAGGGGTAGAGGCCACGCAGCCAGGAGGCAGGCAGTGGCTATGGCCGGAGTGGGCCAGGGAGGTTGCAGAGGCGATGGTCATGGCCTTGGCTGCCATGGGCAGAGGAGTCTGGGAAGGAAAAGCCCCTCATCCCCGCAAAGCAGGCTGAGGAGGAGGCCAGGCCCCACTTGGGGAGTGTGAGGGGGAAACAGCCTTTTCTCTGGGGGCCATCCCTGGGTGTGCTATTCTCATGGGAGATGTGGCCCTGTCCTTGAGGACCAGACAGTCCCAGTGTCTTCCCTGGGAGGTGTCTGTTTGTGGGGAGATGTCAAGGAGAGGGCTCTTGCTGTTGGGGAGCCCGTACAGAGAAGACATGCTCCTATCTTGGGAAAGTTTGACCTGAGGGGCAGATTTCATGTCTGGGGTACCTGGTACAAGAGGGGATATGGTTCCATCTTTGGGTGTCCTTGGTCTCACTAGGGAGCCTGGGGCCTGTTGGGAACCGAGTTTGAGGAGGGGAGTTCCATCGCGGGGGGAATTTCTAGCTTGGGGTTGGGGATGTGGACCTTATTTTTAGGCCCTTCTCTGAGGGAGGGGGAGGCCTGTCCTGAGCCGGCTCGCATTACGGGAACCCTTGTGAGGGTTAGGGGAGTCCCTGTTTGCAGAGGGACTGGAGCCAGGGCCCCATCTTCTCTGCCTGCCCTTGGCCTGTGGTCTCTTCCCCAGGGTCTGGCTCCGCCCAGTGGCCCACTGCGTGAGAACTCCCCTGGCTGGCACGTGTGTGAGGTGGCAGGGGTGGGAACCACATCCCTGAGGGCAAGGGGAGGTCCCTTGACACAGTGGCCAAGCTTGCCCCAGTGCAGAGGCAGTGTCTGCCCGAGCAGGACCCTGGGTCCGCCGGGCCTGTTACCTCCCAGCTTCAAAGAGCTCTGGGGCTTTTCCTTTTGGCAGCTCTGCCACCTTCTGATGCTCCTGGGGGCCAGGCCCTCTGGGTTGTAGGTGTGGGCTCCAGGTGGCCTTTTTTTTTCGTGAGGGGTTCAGTGCAACTGGGGGGGCTTGCAGAGTGCTGAGCCCTGGCCATATCAGCTCTGCACAAGCAGCTGCTCTTCATTCTCTCGCCAGGGAGCCCCCCTCTGGGCCCCTGGCCTCCTCCCCTGGGGTCTCTTCTGGGCAGTAGTTGCCCTGTCTTCTGCCCCTCTCTTGCCTCTGTGCCAGGGATCCCTCCAGCTTGGATGGCTCCCCCTTCCCTCTTCTGTTGGAGCACTTGGCCGGGTCCCTGGGAGGATCTCCCAGTCCATCTCGTGGTACCTGGCCCGCAGACTGGAGGGTGGGCTGGTGGGGAGGGCACACAGCCCTGCCTCCCAACCACCTGTTAACTTTGCTGTCAGTCTGCCCAGGACCTGGGTGGGCTGGGGTGCGTCGTGTCCTGCCTTTGGGCCTGGCCTTCCTTGGGGGTAGGGTCCAGCTGGTCCCTGCTACCCTGATTGCAGGGCCTGAGCCTGCACCCTGCTGCCTTGTGGGGAGCCCTCCCCACAGTGGAGCTGGGTGGGTGGGCCAGGAGGGGAGTAGGCTGCCCCACCTCTTGCCACCCCCTCACAAGCCAGTGTCTCTCTCTCTCCCCTTGTGTCCCGCTCCAGATGGCAGCTCAGCGGCAGCGGGCACTGGCTATCATGTGCCGGGTCTACGTAGGCTCCATCTACTATGAACTGGGGGAGGACACCATTCGCCAGGCCTTTGCTCCCTTTGGACCCATCAAGAGCATTGACATGTCTTGGGATTCTGTCACCATGAAGCACAAGGTGAGATTTGGTTTGCCCTGTCCCCGGAACCCACCTACCCCACCTCACCCCCAGCTCTCGCAGCCTAACAGTGGATCCCCGTGTCCAGGGCTTTGCCTTTGTGGAGTACGAGGTCCCAGAAGCTGCACAGCTGGCCTTGGAGCAGATGAACTCGGTGATGCTGGGAGGCAGGAACATCAAGGTTAGGGCCAGGGAGGTGGGCCTCCAGGCCGCTGTGTGGCATGCTGTGTTCATTCACCCAGGACATGCAGCCCTTCCTGAAGCCTGGAGTGACCAGGCTTGGGCTGAGTGAGGGCTCTTTGTCCCCTGCTTTTTCTCCAGGTGGGCAGGCCCAGCAACATAGGGCAGGCCCAGCCCATCATTGACCAGTTGGCTGAGGAGGCACGAGCCTTCAACCGCATCTACGTAGCTTCTGTGCACCAAGACCTCTCAGATGATGATATCAAGAGTGTGTTCGAGGCCTTTGGCAAGATTAAATCGTGCACGCTGGCCCGGGACCCCACCACTGGCAAACACAAGGGCTATGGCTTCATTGGTGAGCTTGGGAGGCCACAGTGGGGATGGGGCAGGGCCCACCTGGCATTGTGGCTGCCCTTCACTGCTGCTCCTGCCCTGCAGAGTATGAGAAGGCCCAGTCATCTCAGGATGCCGTGTCTTCCATGAATCTCTTTGACCTGGGTGGCCAGTACTTGCGGGTGGGCAAGGCTGTCACACCCCCCATGCCACTGCTTACACCTGCCACACCTGGAGGCCTCCCACCTGCTGCTGCCGTAGCTGCAGCTGCAGCCACAGCCAAGATTACGGCTCAGGTGAGGGCTGCTACCATTTTGTGGGTTTGATTGGCCTTTAGCCTCCCCCTCCATCCTCAGGGGGCTGGATTTGAGTGGAGGCAGCCATACTGGAGATTGAGCGTGGTGGCCTTCTGGGTTGCAGGAAGCAGTGGCTGGAGCAGCGGTGCTGGGTACTTTGGCCACACCTGGACTGGTGTCCCCTGCACTGACTCTGGCCCAGCCCCTAGGGGCTTTGCCCCAGGCTGTCATGGCTGCCCAGGCCCCAGGAGTCATCACAGGTGAGCCTGGGTGGGTCAGGGTTTCCCTTCTGTGGCCTCTGGCCACCCTTAGCTTCCTGGCCTGTGCCCTCCAGGTGCAGTCCTCCGCACCCTGGGCAGGCCAGTTGTAGCTGAGCAGTGCTGCGTTCCTTCCTGGAAGGGTGGAGGTTCAGGGGGAGTGACTGTTGGACCCGGTGGGTTTGCTGCAGGTGTGACTCCAGCCCGGCCTCCCATTCCGGTTACCATCCCCTCTGTGGGAGTGGTGAACCCCATCCTGGCCAGCCCTCCAGCCCTGGGTCTGCTGGAGCCTAAGAAAGAGAAGGAGGAGGAGGAGCTGTTCCCCGAGTCGGAGCGGCCTGAGATGCTGAGCGAGCAAGAGCACATGAGCATCTCGGGCAGCAGTGCCCGCCACATGGTGATGCAGAAGCTGCTCCGCAAGCAGGAGGTGGGTGGTGGGGGCCGGCAGGGTGGGTGGGCAGGGTGGCCTCACCGGCCATGGCGCTCAGCTGTCCTCCCCTGCAGTCCACAGTGATGGTTCTGCGCAACATGGTGGACCCCAAGGACATCGATGATGACCTGGAGGGGGAGGTGACCGAGGAGTGTGGCAAGTTTGGTGCTGTCAACCGTGTCATCATCTACCAGGAGAAGCAGGGCGAGGAGGAGGATGCCGAGATCATTGTCAAGATTTTCGTGGAGTTTTCTGTAGCCTCTGAGACTCACAAGGCCATTCAGGCCCTTAATGGGCGCTGGTTTGCTGGCCGCAAGGTGGTTGCTGAAGTGTATGACCAGGAGCGTTTTGATAACAGTGACCTGTCTGCGTGACTTTGGCCCATTTCCCTGGACTTGCATTTGTTCCTTGTTTCCTCTGGGTTTTACAGTGATTTGATGGTGTGTTGGGCCCTGCCAACCAGCGTTTGGATAAAGGTGCAGGTGCTGCTGGCCCTGAAGGCCCTGTCTGGCAGTGGTCCTGTGCTTACTGACTCCCGTGGCCCAGCTCGCGGAGTGGAGTGTTTGCAAGCAAGCGCCTGGGCTGTGCATGGGGTGGGGGTGAGAAAGGTTTTTCCAGCCGGGGCGGGCCGGCTCGGTACCACCCCGCTAGGTCCCCTTGAGGACCCAGCGGGGGAGGGGGGGGGCTTCCCTGCTATGCGAGGTCCCTACTGTCACTTGAACTGGTAGTGCTGGGAAAGGTTGGCCAGGAGCTCCCAAAGTTCCAGGACGCCTTAGGTTCCCCCGGCGAATGGAGTGCCGCCTCCGCCCGGCGCTCAGCGAGCCTACGTTCTGGTGGGTGGGGCAGAGGGAAGCCTGCGGGCCCGCCTGCAGCGGAGACGCCGGCACGGACTTGAGCTCCCGCCGTTCCTTGCGTGTGGGACTGGCCGCCAAGCTTCCCGGCAGGCTGTGCGCTGGGCCTCTACGGGTCCTCGGAAGCATCGGGCCCGCGGGGCCTTGTGGGGGTTGCAGTTCCCTGCGGTGATGAGCGGCGAAGGCGAGCCTCGGCTTCCCGGCGGGCAGCGCGGCGGTCGGCGGGGCAGTCCGGCGGGCAGCGGCGGCCGTTTCGGCTGCGGCACAACAGCGGACGAGCGGGTGGGCCGCGAAGATGAGCGGCGGCCGTCGCCTCCTGAGGGTCTGAGCGCTGCGCGGGCCCCTCCCCCAGCCCGGGCCACCGCGGACCGAGCGCTCCGTGCGCGGGCCGGGCCCAGAGCCGCCGCCGCCCCGGGCCGCCCGCCGTCCCGCCCCGCCCCCCCGGCCGGCCGGCCCGGCGCTCATGCGGTCGGAGCCCCGCCTCCCGCCCGCGCCGCGCGCCCGCCCGCACCATGCTCAAGTGCATCCCGCTGTGGCGCTGCAACCGGCACGTGGAGTCGGTGGACAAGAGGCACTGCTCGTTGCAAGCCGTGCCCGAGGAGATCTATCGCTACAGCCGCAGCCTGGAGGAGCTACTTCTCGATGCCAACCAGCTGCGCGAGCTGCCCAAGGTGAGGGGTCGCCGGCACCTGCCTCCCGACCCAGTCCCCCGCCCCGGATCAGCAGGGCCACCTAGCTTGCAGCCTGGCCACTGCCGCTTGCTGGCTCGAGCGCTTAGTAGACGCAGGTTCCGGTTGGGGCACTGCAATCTGGTCTTACTGGTTCTTACTGGTCAGAGCTCCACCCCAACCACCCTCACCCTCCTCACCCACTGCAGGTGCTGGCACTGGCACTGGCACCAGGTGACAACGGTCATCAGGTGCTTGTCTGGGAGCAGGATGGTCACTGGGCCAAGAGGGGCCAGAGTGAGAACGTGGTGGAGACAGATGAGATGGGCTGGAGCAGGGTAGAAGGGGAACTTGGAGTGGCTGATGGATACTAACTTGCTGGGTTGCTTTGGAGGCAGAGAGCCCAGCCTTCTCTCCGAACCGCTCTCTTCCTCTTGTGTGCTGGATGGGGTCGGGGGAGCCTTTCTAAGGTGCTTGTCCTGGACAGGTCAGGCCTGCGTCGACTTCTCAGGGCTCTTGTTTCTTCCGGTCAGCTTGCTTTCCTTCTCCTAAGGTTCCTTCAGAAGAGGCTTAAAGGAAGCAGGTCATAAAAGGATTTCCTTTATGGAGACAGGGTGCTAAGTGGCCCAAGGCCTGGGGGCTGCATGCCACAAAGGGTGTGGCTCGCTCTGGGCTTGGACATGAGTGAGGGCTTTCTCTTAGGCACCTCCAAGGCTTGCCTGCAGCCCTTACATGCAGTCCCGTGCAGATCTGTGGTACTCTTATCATTCTTACTACTGTTTTGGTCATTGCCAAGTCTTACACAGGCCTGGGGTGGCCTCTCGCCCCGGTGGAGTAGCAGAAACCACCTGGAGCCTTGGAGGGCTTCTCTGTGGGATGGGTGGGAGAGGTGCCTCGGGTGGGGGATTGGCATCCTGAGGGAGTACAGGGTGAGGAGGGACAGCTTGTCCAGGCAGGAGAGGGTGGCATCGCAGCTGAGATTGGAGCCTGTGAGGTTAATCACAGGGCAGAATGGCAGTAGCAAATTCATCTGAGGCGACTTGAAGGGACCAGGTGTCTGAAGGATGTGCATGCCTGCTTTTCTCTCCTTGCTCTCCCTGCTGGATGATGTGGCAGGACCTTGCATTCATGTGTGGCCTGGAGTCTACAGAGGCCTAGGAGACCCATGACCTGTGAACTTGTGTCTGTTCTGAAAGGGCTGTCTGCCACAGGGCCCGCCTCCCTGACCCCACCCCCACCCCCAGCCCTTCTTCAGGCTGCTGAATCTGCGCAAGCTGGGCCTGAGTGACAACGAGATCCAGCGATTGCCCCCAGAGGTGGCCAACTTCATGCAGCTGGTGGAGCTGGACGTGTCCCGGAATGGTGTGCAGCCCAGGGGGTGTCTGGGTTGGATCGTGGGGCTGACAGAAAGGGCTTTGAGTTTCTGGAGGCTGGAGGCATCTTTTCTGTGGTGACCCCTCTCCTGTCACAGACATCCCTGAGATCCCTGAGAGCATCAAGTTCTGTAAGGCCCTGGAGATCGCGGACTTCAGTGGCAACCCCTTGTCGAGGTGGGTGGTGGCTGTGGGGGGGGGGGACAATGGAGGACGGGACGCCCCACAGCACTGGCCTGGGCATCTGAGGCCCTCCTCCTTCTGGTGTAGGCTCCCCGAAGGCTTCACTCAGCTGCGCAGCCTGGCTCACCTAGCTCTGAATGACGTCTCTCTGCAGGCACTGCCCGGGGATGTGGGCAAGTGAGTGCCCTCTGGGGCTGGGGCCTTGGCACAGCCTTGTCCCTGCCCTTCTCCCCACTGTGCCTGCAGCTCTCATGTCCTGCTCTGATTTCTCTTTCAGCCTGGCCAACCTGGTGACTCTGGAGCTGCGGGAAAACCTGCTCAAGTCGCTGCCTGCGTGAGTGGGCTCGGACCCCCCAGGGCTGCCCACTGTGGCCCCGCTCACCCAGGGCTGCGCAGCCACAGCAGAACCGGCTGTTTCCTCTGCAGGTCCCTGTCTTTCCTGGTCAAGCTGGAACAGTTGGACCTGGGCGGCAACGATCTGGAAGTGCTGGTGCGGGGAGGTGGGGCTGTCCTGGGTGGGGGGGCTGCCCTGGGCGGGTCAGGGCCTGGCACAGCGGGTGAGCCGCGGCCCTCACTCTGCCTGTCTGCTCTTGCAGCCCGATACTCTGGGGGCTTTGCCCAACCTGCGCGAGCTGTGGCTGGACCGGAACCAGTTGTCGGCACTGCCCCCGGTGAGTGAGGGTGCGGCAGCCCCTGGCTCCTGCCTGGTGCTGTCACCTGACCTTTGGGTCCCCCCGCCTGCTAGGAGCTCGGGAACCTGAGGCGCCTGGTGTGCCTGGATGTGTCGGAGAACAGGCTGGAGCGGCTGCCCTCGGCACTTGGTGGGCTGGTGCTGCTCACTGACCTGCTGCTCTCCCAGAACTTGCTGCAGAGGCTTCCTGATGGCATCGGTCAGCGCTGACCCAGCCACTGGAAGGGGCGAGGCTGTGGTGACCCTGGGCCTGGAGGAGGGTTGTGGGGCGAGGACCCTGGGAGGCATCCCTGAGAAGGGGGAGAGAAGGCTGTGGTTGGGGTGGGTGGCTGTGGGCTACTTCTGAGCAGCCGAGGCCGCTCAAGGTGGCCGAGTGGGGATGGTGAGCTCAAGAGGGCTGGTGGGCAGTGGGCACAGCTGTAGGAGAATCGCAAAGGACATTGGGAGCTGGTGGGTATACTGGGTCAGGCTTGTGGCAGGACACCTGAGAGGGTTTTGTGCAGGTGTGGGACCAGGGCAGGATTTCTCAGCACTGGGGGCTGGACTGGGACCTCTGGCCCAATGGGCTCTGTCACTCACGTACCCCACCCCAGGTCAGCTGAAGCAGCTGTCCATCCTGAAGGTGGACCAGAACCGCCTGTGCGAGGTGACCGAGGCTATCGGGGACTGCGAGAACTTGTCTGAGCTGATCCTCACAGAGAACCTGCTGACGGTGGGGCCCTGCCTTGAGGCTCCTAGCCCCAGTAGGGGGTTGGTTTCAGGGTCAGAGTGGGTGGCAGAGAGGGTGGGGGGCTTGGAGGCCAATAGAGTGACGGAGGCGGTAGCTGGGTGTCTGCTTGGGCAGGACAGCAATAGCAGGGAGCTGCTGAAGGGCAGAGAAGAGACGGCCACGGGGAGCTCTCATCTTCCTCCTGCAGAGCCCCAGAGGGCTTCTGCTGACCTCTCACCCTTCCTCCTGGCCAGGCCCTGCCCCACTCCCTGGGGAAGCTGACCAAGCTGACCAACCTCAATGTTGACCGGAACCGCCTGGAAGTGCTACCACCGGAGATTGGAGGCTGTGTGGCACTCAGTGTCCTATCCTTGAGGGACAATCGCCTGGCCGTCCTGCCACCTGAGCTTGCCCACACAGCCGAGCTGCATGTGTTGGACGTGGCCGGGAACCGGTGAGTGCCCACCTGCCCTGCTGGTCCCCACTGAGCTGACTGTGCCACCCGGCCCTCTGCTGAGCTGACCGTGCCCCCCGGCCCCCAGGCTGCAGAGTCTGCCGTTTGCGCTCACCCATCTCAATCTCAAGGCCCTGTGGCTGGCTGAGAATCAGGCACAGCCCATGCTTCGGTTCCAGACCGAGGATGACACCCAGACTGGCGAGAAGGTGCTCACCTGTTACCTCCTGCCCCAGCAGCCACCACCCAGCCTCGGTAGGTCGTTGGCAGTTGGTAGCATTGACCCAGGGGTATGTGCAGCCTCAGGCGAGGCTTGGGTCTCCCTTGGCTCTTGCCTCTTGCAGAGGACCCAGGACAGCGGAGCAGCCCTTCAGAAAGCTGGAGTGATGCCCCTCTCAGCCGTGTCAGCGCCATCCAGTTCTTGGAGGCCCCTGTGGTCGGAGAGGATGCTGAGGAAGCAGCTGCTGAGAAGCGGGTATGGGGGTCCCTGGGCAGGCCGCCCTCTCCCAGCTGACCCTCTGCTCTGCCCCAGCCTCATTCCCTTGCTGCTGCAGGGCCTACAGCGGCGGGCCACGCCCCACCCCAGTGAGCTCAGGGTGATGAGGAAGGGCATGGAAGAGCGGCGGAATGAAGCCTTCTGCAGGCCTGGCCCTGGGACGCCCTCACCCCTGGAGGAGGTGCCTGTGGGGCCCTTGGGGTGCAGGAGGGAGCCCTGCCCGCAGCGCTCCCTTCCGGGAGCCTTTGGTGTCTCATTCATCCTGGGTGTGGGGCTCTGAGGGCCCATTGGAAGTGGGGGTTATGGAGGAAGAGACATGCCTAGTGAGAGCAGATAGCCTAAGGCAGGGCAGGACCATGGCGAGCAAGGGCTTCTGGGTGCTGGGAGAGCGGGCACCACACAGTGGGTGTGTGGGGCGACAGTACAGAGGAGCCAGATGTGGCTGTGGTCTTGGTGGTGTGGGGTGGAGTGCTGGGCCTGTGGGCGCATGTCCTTCTTGGTTGCCCACACGGCTGGCGTGTGGTTCATTCACAAGTTTCACTTTGCTCATTTGAAAGTTTCTGGCAATGGAGTGAGGGAAAGCTTCAGGGCCGCGGGCACAGCAGGGCGTCCATGGACCCCGGGAGACACGTGGCAGGGTCTGTTCCTGTGGCACGCCACCCTCCACCCTGGGAGGCAGCCCCTGGGAGGCAGCCGTGGCCTGTGTGGGTAGCCGTGCTTCAACTTTTCGCAGGCTGGCATCTTTCTGGAAGCTCATTGAAGTCTTTCTCGTCCTTTTTTGGAAAGGTCTTCGAGCATTTTTGCCGCGGCCCTTTGGCTCTGCACGTGCACAGTTCCGTTTGATGGCAGTGTGTCTTCCTTGGGGGCTGGGCAGACAGCAGCCGCGAGGGCTGAGCAGAACTCACCCCATTCTGCAGGGCGGTGGCAGTTGCAAGGGGGTGAGCCCACTAGGGGCACTGCAGTTTGGGCAGCAGGGAGCCCAGGGGCAGGTGGGTGGCCTGACCCTGAGAGTCTGCCCCACTGCCTGGCCCTGCCACAGGAGAAGAGGCTGAGTACCGAGTCTGGCCTGAGTGAGAACTCACACCTGTCCGCAAGCACAGCCTCCCTGGGTGAGCCTGAGGGCCCCCTAGCAGAGGTGGAGGCGCCGAGCCGGCAGGAAGCCGAGCCGGCTGCCCAGGAGGAAGCCGAGGAAGAGGCCTATGAGGAGGTAAGGCTTGTCTTGGAGGCCGTGCACCTTGACTCTTCACCTCGGACCGCGCCTGCCCTCGCCCCCTCCTTCCTGCCCCCCTCGAGCTGGTGAGCGGTCTGGCCAGGGTTGGGTTGGCTGCACAGGTGGGTTCTCTCTTCTGCAGCCTGCTGCCCCCGGCTGGGGTGGGGCGCGGGGTCTCCACTCCCCAGCCAGGCTGTGGTCCCCGTCCTGCATCTGTCACACCGCACCCATAGAGCACCCAGGGGTTCCTGCCCTGCTGGTGAGCTACAGCATTGGGCTGCTATGTGGGGGGGCGCGGGGGCCACCCAGCTGGGCCTTCTTGGGGCGGAGCTCTTTTGTGCCTCTTGTTAGGCGCGCCCCTTCTCAGGCAGCCCCACCTCCTGGCTCTTCATGCATGGCAGCCTCTGGGCGCCTGCGCGGGGCTTTCCTGGCCCGGGGGGAGTGGGCCAGGCTGCCGCCCCCACTCACGCTCAGCCCCTCGCAGCCCACAGTGCGCTTTGCGGAGGACACCCTGGTGCTGCACCCCCCAGGGGAGGACGCTGAGAGCGAGGAGGGGCAGGAAGAGGGGCAGCTGGAGGCCCCCTGGTCCCCGCCTGGTGGGAGGCAGCGGCTCATCCGCAAGGACACACCCCACTACAAGAAGCACTTCAAGATCTCCAGGCTGCCCCGGCCCGAGGCCGTCGTGGCCCTGCTGCGGGGGACGCATCCAGACGGCGAGGGCCTGGCAGGGCCGCGGGGCTGGCACAACGGCCCCCACACGCCCTGGGCTCCTCGGGCCGAGGAGGAGGAGGAGGAGGAGGAGGAGGAGGAGGCCGAGGAGGCTGAGGAGGAGGCCGAGCAGGCTGAGGAGGAGGCCGAGGCAGCGGTGGTAGCGGCGGAGGAGGAGGAGGAGGCTGGGGCTGCGGCAGCCTCTGTGCCCTGCGTCAAGGTGGGTCTCACCCCACGTTCCTGCCTGGTCCAGGCTGTCCCAGCCCCTGGCAGTGTCCGCAGTGCCCCTCCGCAGGGGCCCAGACTCACACTGGCATTAACCTCTGGCGCTGCTGGGGACAGCGCTGGGCCCGTGCCCTGACCTGGGTGTCAAGGGAGGGGCCCATATGTGAGGGCGACTCGCTCTGGAGGGCCCTGCTGGCCTTACAGCCCATGCCAGGGGTCCCCCAGCTACCCTCTCGCTCAGGCTGGCCGGCCTTCTCGGGCCCTGGAGCTGGGCTTCAGGTCGGCTGTGGGGCCTTCACCCAAGTCCTTGTCCCAGTGCTCAGGTGGCTCTCCTGGGCCCACGTGGGCTTGTGCCCGCTCCCTGGGGACGCCCTGCTCCACAGCACACTTGTGTTCCTGACACTTTGGTGGTCCCTGAGAGTGGTCCCCTGACAGCTGAGGGGACTGAACAGTCAGAATCTGGGACCACCAGGCCTAGGCTCAGCTGCTGGGTGGGCCAGCAGCTGCAGTCACATCCTTAGTGGGGGGACCCTGTGCCCAGGGGCAGCTCCAGACCCAGGCAGGGAGGGGCCGGCGCTGGGGCTGCAGGAGCTTGGTGTGGGTTCTTCTCTCTCGCTCGTGGCGTGGCTGGGTGAGGTGGGGCGGGGCCGGGCAGAGGCTCACCCGCATGCCCTCGCTGGTCCTGTCCTAACAGGGGGTGTCGTTTGACCAGGCCAATAACCTGCTGATAGAGCCTGCCCGCATTGAGGAGGAAGAGGTCTGTACTCGCTCGCTGCTCTGTGCCCTGGGCTGCTGCTGGCCTTGCTTCCTGGGCTGCGGGCTCTCACGTTGGCTCCCCACGTCCTGTGCACACACACCCCTCCTGCGAGTGCCCCTGCCCACTGCATTAGCGCCAGGGACTGGGCTGACATATCCTCGTGGAGCCTGGTGGCCCTCGGGACAGAGTGCTGGCCCTGGGCAAGGACAGAGGGTCTCAGCAGGGGTCTTGGCGTGTTTCCTGTCCTTGCGCCCGCAGGGGCCCCAGAGCTTTGAGGCACTGGGGCTGCAGGGCAGGGGCAGGGCCTCACACCTCCCCACCCCTAGGCGGGTGCCCCTTCCAGGCTGCACTCACTGCCTTGAGCCCTCAGCCTCTGGTGCTCTACTCAGGCACTGCCTGCCTCTGTCCAGCTTCTCTGTCATTCCCACGCTGGCCCAGGTCGCTGGACAGAACTGTGCGCCCCCCCGCCCCCTGTGAGGCTCACAGGTAGACCGCACCCCTCATGGCCTTGCTTGGACATAGCCCGTCCGCTCTGTTTCCAGCTGGCACTCACCGTCATGCGGCAGACTGGGGGCCTTGGCATCAGCATCGCCGGCGGCAGGGGCTCCACCCCTTACAAGGGGGACGACGAGGTGAGGCCCTGCCCCGTCCCACCTGCCCGCAGGCTCCCTGACCTCGGAGAGTATGCATACCCTCACACCCACCTGACTGTGGACCTGGGACTGGAACCGGCAAGGCTTCTGGTCGGAGGGGGTCCGTGGGTGCGCCCCACCTGCCGGCTCCTTGGCAGGCTTGTCTTCCTTCCACTAGCTCCCTAAGTGCTGGGTTTGGGGTCAGAAACCCTTCTAGCAAGTGGACCTGTGCCCTCCAGCCCCCTGGCACGTGACACCTGCAGCAGCATGAGCCCGGCTCCTGTGTGCCCCCCAGGCCGCCCCCACGCCCTACTGCATCTTGGCAGTCTTGCTGGGAGCAGTTGCCCTTGGGGTGGCTTCCAGGCCTTGCGCAGTTACTGAGGGCCCCTTCCACAGAAGGGCAGGACAGAGCCCCCTCCATGGTCCGTGCAGATGCTGTCTGCTCAGCTTCTGTATGTCTTCCAGGGCATATTCATCTCTCGGGTGTCTGAGGAGGGCCCTGCGGCCCGGGCTGGAGTCCGAGTGGGAGACAAGCTCCTTGAGGTCAGTCAGGGAGCCCCAGTCACTGCCCGAGTGGGTGACAGTCCCAGCTGTCAGGTGCTGCTGAGCTGTTTCTGTGGGATGTGGGAGGCTTGGCTCCTGTGCTATAAGAGCCCTGAGCACAGTACACCAGGCGGGGCACAGAGCCCGTGAGCCAGGGGTCTAAGAGGCCCAGTTCCTGGCCCCCAGAGGGAGACACTGTTTGGGTGGGATACCTGCCCTGTGGGATGGGGTGCTGTCTATACCAGGAGCTAAGGGGGCTGCTCCTGGGTCTGGCCACTGAGGTGTCCTGGTCACTAACCTTTAGGGGGCTGGGTGGGGGTTTTGGCTCCTGCCCTGGAACCCCTCCCTGCTGGGCCTCTGGTGGCCCTGCCCCAGCAGGGGTGTAAGGGAGCCATGGGAAGCCATGCACCTGTTCACCAGCTGTCACCCTGGGGCAGAGACTGGGCAGTGTGCCCTCCCAAAGGCAGGCTATATCCACCCAGGTTGGCTGGTGAGCCCTTGAGTGGAGAGGACACATCTCCCTGAGGTAGGGCCAGAAACCTCATAATCCTGGGCATCTTTAGCTGTCTGACTGTGTGGATGAAGGGCAGGTGGCAGGGGCTTCTCAGGACTGGTGACAGGTGTGGACCAACAGGAGAGACATCAACCTGCTCCCCTTGGGCAGTTCACCTGCTGGCCCTGGGGTTGCACAGATGTGGGTGGGTTGCTGGGGCCACAGGAGCTGAGCAACTGCCCACCAGGGGCCCCATGGCCTGTCCCCTGCTCTGCCTCCCCATTAAGACACAGTGGTTGTGTGTCACTGGCCACTGGCCACGGCCTGCCCTGACACGTGCCACGTCTGCAGGTGAATGGCGTAGCCTTGCAGAACGCTGAGCACCACCAGGCCGTCGAGGCGCTGCGGGGGGCAGGTGCTACCGTGCAGATGCGGCTGTGGCGAGAGCGCATGGTGGAGCCCGAGAACGCCGTCACCACCACGCCTCTGCGGCCTGAGGATGACTACAGTCCCCGGGAGCGGCGGGGAGCTGGGCTGCGGCTGCCCCTGCTCCAGCCTGAGACCCCTGGGCCCTTCCGCCAGCGCCACGTGGCCTGTCTGGTGCGCAGTGAGAAGGGGCTGGGCTTCAGCATCGCTGGCGGGAAAGGTTCCACGCCCTACCTGGCTGGTGACGGGGTGAGGCATGCAGAGGGGAGGGAGGGGCCTGTGGGTGGGACCGGGACCGGACCGGGATGGGGACTGGCTGCCTCGCCTCCCCGCCACCTGGCTCTCCTCCCCTTCCCGCTCAGGGCATCTTCATCTCCCGCATCGCTGAGGGGGGTGCTGCCCACCGGGCGGGCACTCTGCAGGTTGGCGACCGTGTCCTCTCGGTGAGTGGAGGTAGCAGGTCCTGCCCAGACCCACCCCCTCGCCCCGCTTGCCCCATGGGGCCCCCTAACTGGCCACGTTCTTGCAGATCAATGGGGTGGACATGACCGAGGCCAGGCACGACCACGCTGTCGCTCTGCTGACTGCTGCGTCCCCCGCCATCGCCCTGTTGCTGGAACGGGGGGCTGGGGGGCCCCTTCTCCCCAGTCCCCTGCCACACTCTCCCCCAGCCCCCACTGCTGCTGCCACCACTGTGATCACTGTCACTCCTGGGGAGCCTGGGCCCCTGAGGATGGCCCCCAGCCTGCTGGCTGCTGCCCTGGAGGGGCCATACCCAGTGGAGGTGAGACCCCAGCCATCTCCCTGCCCACTCCGCCCCCTTCTCCATGTCCACACAGCTCCAGGTGGGAAGTAAGTGTCCACACTTTCTCTGTTCAGGCCCCAGGATGCGGGGGCTTTGCCCCACAGTTGATCCCCCCCCCCCCCCAGTGGTCCCCTGTGCACCCCGACACAGCTTCCCTGCCACACTCCCATCCCTGACGGCCTGACTGCTGCCGCCTGGACTTGCACGTTTCCGGGCTGGGGAGCGCTCCTCTGGTGCTCTGAGAGTCCTGGTCCAGCCGGTCCCTCATGCCTTCTGCATCCCCAGGAGATCTGTTTGCCGAGAGCTGGGGGCCCACTGGGGCTCAGCATTGTTGGGGGCTCTGACCATTCCAGCCACCCGTTTGGTATCCAGGAGCCTGGTGTATTTATCTCGAAGGTAGAGTGGGCCTGGCGGATGCCTCTACAACGAGGGCCTGGACTGGGCATGGGGCAGTAAGGTCCGTGGCCCCCTGAACACTACCCACCTCAACAGGTGCTCCCGCGGGGCCTGGCTGCTCGAAGTGGCCTTCGGGTCGGGGACCGAATCCTGGCAGTGAATGGGCAGGATGTGCGGGAGGCCACACACCAGGAGGCGGTCAGCGCCCTGCTGCGGCCCTGCCAGGAGCTGGTGCTGCTTGTGCGGAGGGACCCACCACCCCCGGGCATGAGGGAGCTCTGTATCCAGAAGGCCCCTGGGGAGAGGCTGGGCATCAGCATTCGCGGGGGTGCCAAGGGCCATGCAGGGAATCCCTGCGACCCCACAGATGAGGGCATCTTCATCTCCAAGGTGAGGGTCCTGCCTGGGCCAGCCCATCCCATGGTGCTCACCGGGGAGAGGGCGCCTGGGGCAGGCTGGGGTGGGCTGGGGCCTGAGGTGCAGGGCCTGGGTCTTCCTGCAGGTGAGCCCGGCAGGAGCAGCGGGGCGTGATGGCCGCTTACAAGTGGGGCTGCGACTGCTGGAGGTGAACCAGCACAGCCTGCTGGGCCTGACTCACGGGGAGGCTGTGCAGCTGTTGCGCGGTGTGGGCGACAGCCTCACTGTGCTCGTCTGCGATGGCTTCGATGCCAGCACCACCCCTGCCCCTGAGGTCAGTGCCCCACCCCCCACCCATCAGTCTGCTGGAGGGACAGGGTCCTGCCCCCAGCACACCCCTGAGGGGTCATGACGACTGACCCTGTGGGGGCCAGGAGAGCTGATCCTACCCATCTCTTAGCCAGGGAAGCACTCGGCCACCATTACTCAGTGCAGGTGTGAGCTGTGGGGTTCAGGCAGTGCCAGGTGGGGGTCTCATCCGCCTGCTCATGGTGCATGCAGGCCCTGGCCTCGGTAGGACAGGGTGCACAAGCCTCTGGCATGCTCAGGTCCTAGAAGAGCTTGAGCCACCTGCCCTAGTGGGGCAGCACCTGCAGAGAGTGGCCACTAGGCCAGGCCAGGCTGGTTCAGAGCCAGGCACACAGCCAGGCTGGGGCCCCTCAGGACTGTGCCTGTAGACCCACACAGACCCCGCCCATCTTGCCTAGCGCTGTCCTTTTTTGGCAGCCCCTGACCAGGAAGCTTGTTTCCCATGGCCTTCCATCCCAGAGCAGAACCTGGGTCGGGGCATGTGGGGAACCCAGCTGCCCACCCCGCTGGCCTGCTCAGGGTCTCGTGCCATTTCGCCCCCTCCCGCCTTCTCTGCTACTACCTCTGGGGCCTGTCGGCATGATCTGGGGCGGCAGCATCTGCCGTGAGGGTGTCCTTGCAGGCCCGATCGCAGACGGGTGGGTCACCTCGGGCCGGTCCTACTGCAGTGGGTCTTAGGGAAGGCGACTCGCTGCCCCCGTCCCCCTGCAGCCAGCCTGGGGCCGCCCCTCGTTCTCTGTTGCTTTTGTCCTTTACTCCAGGGCCGTGAGCCGTGATGCAGGCCTGGCTTCCCGGGCACTGGGCTGGCCCTGTGTTCACATCTCCCTTTGTCCCTGCAGGAATTCTGGTGGTTTCTGAGGAGGAATCTCCTTGGAATTAAGCTTGGGACCATGTCCCCAGAGAAGTCTTTGCCTTTTGTTTACTTACTTAAATATGTTTCAGTCAATACATTTACTCATTTTAAAGCTTTTTATTCAAAGAGAGACTTGAAATAGCTTTGTGGTGAAGGGTCCAAACATCTGAACTGAAGGGGCTGGTGTGCCCCTGGGTCAGTGGGCAGGGCGCCCTTCTGTGAGTTGGCCGTGAGCCTCCTGTGCCCGGTGGTCTCCCTGTGCTCGGACGGGGCTGCCCAGGCGCTCCCGGCGTGAGCCGGTGAGCTCAAGGGCCTGACTTTGTGCTTCTGGAGGGAGTTTCTGCAGGAAAGAGCCCCGGCCATGCCAGTGCGGGGCCAGAGCTGCCGGGCCCATCTCCCCAGCCCTGCTTTGGGTGGCACAGACCTGTGTCCACGTCCTTTTCCTTTTGGGAGTTTGTTTTCCGTTACAAAGAATGCAAATGCTGTTGCTTTTACTTTGTAGCGTGGTGCATTTGGAGTCACAGAGTGTGTGCATGGTTTACAAAACAAATCTAATCTTTTCCTTTGTGACTTCTGGATTTTGGTTTTTGCTTAGGAAAACCTCCATTTCAAGATTGTCAAAACATTGTTCTGTATTTTCTTCAAGTACTTCTAAAATATTTCTAAGTTCTGTAATTAACCTGGATTGCTTTCCAAGCGAACGGGTAAGTTGTCCCAACAGCACGTACTGAGTCATTTGTCATTGCCCCACTGATTTGGGGAAGCATGACCTCCCTGTGGGTCAGGACTAAATTCTTTGTGTCAAAGTGTGTCGCAGCACTGCTGGTGGACCTGGTGCAGCCTGACTCATCCCTGGGCTGGTGCACTGTCCTGAACACTCGCTTTATGGATGTTTGACACCTAATTGGTGGGTTAAGTCATCTACTTTTTTTTCCTTCTTTTGAAAAGCTTCGGTCTATTTTCATGTGTTTTCTCTTTCAAATGACCTTGCCAAGTTCCCTAACAAAAGTTGGTCGGGACTTCGTTGATCTCAGAATTGTTACTGTGTGACTGAGTTCTCCAAACCCATTCATAGGTCGCCTTCTTTCCTAATTAATTCTGACCTAGTGGAAGCCCTGGGCCTGAGCAGCGGCTCTGAGTCCCCTTTCTCGGTCACACCCCGTTGTCGCCTCTGGGACCCTTGCTACTCTGAGGAACAGTGGGGCAGCCAGCGGCCTTGACTTGCACCAGCTGTAAGGGGCTGTTTCATCTTGTGGTTCAATGTTTGATAATACCTTTTAAAATTTGGGGGGCTATTTCGATTTCTAAGCTGTGAGAACTGTTATCTGAAACGGGTATTGAGTTTTCTGGAGTCCTTTTATTGATGGTTTTTACATCCCTGTGCCAAGTGGGGTTGTGGTTCAGCCCATAGTGTCCTGTGGTTGGCTTGGTGCCTTAAAGAGAATGGAACAATCATTATATATATGTACAGTCTCTCTCTCTCTGTGTGAATATATATATATATATATATATATATATGTATCACGCCAATATCTGGACTCCTGGCAACTCTGGGCCCTCATTCCCACAGGCTGTCTGTCATTTTGAATTCTCCAGGGCGTTGGGCAGGGTGGTCACAATTCTTTACCCCGCCATTTTTCTTACACGTAGCCCACTTGATTATCTGTGCTGACCTGTCCAACCCCTGCAGGAATCAGGGTTTGCCAACTGTTGCCCTAACTTTGTTTTGATTCTGCAAACCAGCCTGTGCTCTGGCCACCTTCTTCCCTCGGCAGCTGAGCTGTGGATGGAGGCAGGCTGTCACTAGGGCTTGCCTGTCCTTGCCTCGCAGCTGGTGCATCCCAGAGTTCCTGCAGCCTTACAGACCTGGATGGCTGGTTTGTTTGAGCTGTGGGGCCTCAGGCAGGTGCTTGGCTTCTCTTTCTCAGTCTCCTCAGTGCAACAGGGTAAGAGCATGTCTGCTTCGTGGGGTCACTGAGAAGACTGACTAGAGCAAACAGCACATGCCCACCTCTCTGACAGCACCACAATCCCTGAGCAGGCCTGGGCGCTGCTTCCCAGGAAGGCCCAAGATAGAGATAGTCTCCCTCTCATTTCTCCCCTCTGTGGTCGTGTCCTCTTCCTGAGCCAGTCATTTCTGTCTTCTTTTCTTCCTGCTCACACTTGCCAAAGTTTTATGTATTTTAATGACCTTTTCAAAGAACCAGCTTTTGGATTTTAACGAAGACTACTTTTCTGTTTCACTATTTCCTTGATTTCTGCTATAAGAATATGCCTTCTACATATATTGCTTTTAATTTTTCTACAAATCTGTAAGGAAGAGATTTTCTTTATCATCTTTTTTATCCTAAAAGAAGATTTTATACAGGAAAGGTGAGATAAGTGCTTGATTCTTTCATTTTGTCAATTTTTTTAATAACAAGCTGGTACCTTGGAAACCTCCAGAGGTGGCTCCTTAGTTGTTTATTTTAGTTCTTAGTGCTGTTATGAGCCCGTGGGTCTGTCTGTCCTCGATGCGTCTGACCTGCTGTGTCCAGTGCTCAAGCTGTCCCCTTAGTGGGCAGTGTGGCTCCCGTGCCCTTTCAGCCTGGCGCCTGATAGCTTCCTTGCTCTCTGCTGTAACCAGATGCCCACATAGTTCCCGCTCCAGCCCTGGAGCTGGCTGGCTGGGGAGGGTCCTTCCCAGTGGACGTGGCAGAGAGAGCTTGGGACGGGCTGAGGGGCCCGTGGCTCCTGGGCTTTTGCTGCTTCCAGGACCCACAGCAGATGAGCAGGGGCGTGGGTAGTCCTAGAAAGAAAAATCAGGAGTTAATATTGTTATTCAATTCATACGTAAGGTTATGGGGTTTTCACTAATTTCTTTGATTTTGTATTTGTGTTTCACACACTGAAAATTGTTTTAAAATAATATTACCGATATTACCAGCAGTTAGTGAGAGCCGTTTAAGATTTCTTTAGGTCTTCAGGATTCATCCAACTCATATGTACAATCAAAACACTGTGTTTTTAAGTCACTTGAAATAATTCTTTGTATTGTTCTGCTGCCAACTGGATAGCCAGTCAGGCTTACGTATTTTCAGTGCTTAGGGCAGTTTCTTATTAGTGTCAGCCTTTCACGGTCCTGAAGCCACCACTGCAACCGACTTGGCACTGCCACAGAGCCTGCTCTGGGCCACTGCATGGCACAGATTTGGCTTATCCTGCCATTATTTCTTCTTGAAAAGTAGAAACAAATATATAAAATAAAAAATAACTTTTAACTTGGAGAAAAGTAAAGGAACAGTCCACACAGCCTCTCAGAGGCCCCCATGCATGTCACCAGCTGTCCCAGGTGTCCTCATAGCAAAGGGCACAGTCCAGGGACGTAAGTGGCATCTGGCTGTCTTGGCTCCACAGTCTCCCCTGACTCTGACCCTGAACTTGTGATGAGTACAGGCCGCCCCTCCCTGTGGGTCCCCCTGACACCTCCTGGCGACACGTTCCAGTAGGTGCTTTTGGCAGATCACCGCAGAAGCGGCCTCAGGGCCTCCCACCAGGACGTGCAGGTGGCAGATCGCCCCCTCACTGATGATCTCCGTGGCGGTGTCACCCAATTTCCCCACTGCAAAGTGACTCTCTCCCCTTTGAAATTAGTGTTTTGTAGGGAGGCACTTGGAGTTCCTATCAGAACTTCACCCGCCAGCTTCAGCACTGTTGTTTCCCAATTTGGTGATATGGTGGTTGCCGAGGATGATGTTTTTTTAAAATTTTTTATTAAGGTATGATTGATATACACTCTTATGAAGGTTTCACACGAAAAAACAATGTGGTTACTACATTTACCCATTTTACCAAGTGCCCCCCAACCCCAATGCAGTCACTGTCCATCAGTACAGCAAGTTGCCAGAGATCCACTATGTCCCTTCTCTGTGCTACACTGTTCTCCCCGTGATCCCCCACACCGTGTGTACTGAACATAATACGCCTCAGTCCCCTTCTCCCTCCCTCCCCACCCGCCCTCCCACACCCCTCCCCTTAGGTAACCACTAGTCCCTTCTTGGAGTCTCTGAGTCTGCTCCCATTTTGTTCCATCAGTTTTGCTTCGTTGTTATCCTCCACAAATGAGGGAAATCATTTGGCACTTGTCTTTCTCCACCTGGCTTATTTCACTGAGCATAATGTCCTCCAGCTCCAACCATGTTGTTGCAAATGGTAGGATTTGTTTTCTTCTTATGGCCAAATAGTATTCCATTGTGTGTATGTACCACATCTTCTTTATCCATTCATCTACAGATGGACACTTAGGTTGCTTCCATATCTTGGCTATTGTAAAAAGTGCAGCGATAAACATAGGGGTGCATATGTCTTTTTGAATCTGAGAAGTTGTATTCTTTGGGTATATTCCAAGGAGTGGCATTCCGGCGTCAAATGGTATTTCTATTTGTAGTTTTTGAGGAACCTCCGTACTGCTTTCCACAATGGTTGAACTAGCTTACATTCCCCCCAGCAGTGTAGGAGGGTGCCCCTTTCTCTGCATGCTCGCCAGCATTTGTTGTTCTTAGTCTTCTCAATGCTGGCCATAGGAAGATGTTTTAAATTTATCATTTCTTCTACATGTATCCGTTGGCTTTCCACTGTGAGGAGGAGCTTTCCTTTCTCTGCAGCGAGGTATTTGCCCATCTACCCACTGCATAGACTCACCACTTTCTATTTTATTTCATGGGTGATAGTTTGTCACTATCACTGTCGATTTTGATGCTGAAGTTGTCCCAGATTTGGCTGATGAAAGGGATTTCTGGCTGGCCCTGTACCCTTTTAACGTAACCCCACCTTCCTGTGAGCAACTTACTTTCTGGCACAGCAGGCACAACAGGATGTCCTGGGCTTACCTTGTACTTCCCACCCAGCCCTGCAGACATTTCTGCAGGGAGCACCGGTTCCTTTTAGTGGACAGTGATATTTAGAAGCCAAGGTCTGGGCCCTGCATGTGCTCACGGCCATGTGGTCTCAGGCCCTCCCAGTGGTTGGGAGCTTGCGTGTGTGTGTACACATTGACGTCTGTATCTCTGGGACTCTGGAAAAGCATGAGTTCACGGCAGTTATCACCCATTCCATTGCACACCACAGGTCAGCCCTTCCATATGCGAATGGCCTCCCCTGATGCGAGAAACCAGGCGGCATCCTCCTCGCCACCTGTGCTCCCCACCCAGTCCCTCTGTGCGGCCGTCCTCCCCGGTCCGAGGCCCTGCCCCTCTCGGCCTGCCCTGTGGCTCTTTGCCTAAGTTATTCCACAGGTTGGGAAGGTAGGCTCCCTAGATTTTGTTGTTAAATCTGCTAGTTTTGTCAGCACCTGAGTCATAGCTCAGTCCCCACGCCAGTGTGTCCATCGTATCCCCAGTAGTCTCCGCTTCCTCTATTCAGCTGCCCACTTGTTTATCGCTCACAGTCGATCGCTGCATCTGCCTCATAAATGACGCCTTGTGTTGTGAAATGACGTCTCTCGCCTGCGTGCCGCTTTCGCCTGGAAGTCCATCTTCTCTGCTGCCATCATCTCTTCTCTTTGCTTTCTGTTTCTTTGTGGCTGGTATCTCTGCCCCTCCCTTTATTTATCACTTCACTTGAGCTTTTGAAAAGCGACTGTCCCCGGGCTGGTGTTCCCGCCCACACTGCCGGTGCTCCTCGTCAGCCGGGCCTCCTGTGCCTGTCACTGTGCAGCTCTTCTCTGGCTTCCTTTGCTCACAGCTGAGCAGCCCCTTTTGTCTCTTGTGGGGTTGGAAGTGAGCCATTCCTGTGTTTCCATCCGACCTGTGTTCACCTCCGGTGCTCGCCACCGAAGCGCTCCGCCTCCCCGTGCTGCTCCTCATGTCTGTCTGCCCGGCCTGCAGCTCCCCAGGCTGACAGGGTTCAGAGCTAGCTGGGTGTTCTCTTGCAGTGTGTCCTTTGTTTCGGAACCTCTCAGGGTGCTCGCTCTGCACAGTCGAGGCAGCCTGTGAGTGTGGTGCTCTGTGCTGCCAGGCCCATCATTGCTTGCTGCCCAGCCCCCTGCTCCACCGATGTCAGTTCTCTGCTCCCTGGGGTGAGTGTCCACAGCTGGCCTGTCCTGCCTCTGCCCCAAGCAACATGGCGCAGTGTCGAAACCTCGTCTGCTGCCCAAGATGTGCAGACATGGCCTGCGCCACCCCGCATCACAGACTGAGTGACGGCACAGTGTCCTGGGCAGCCAGCACTGCTTACAGAGCCCTGTGGCCTCCGTCTCCCTGCAGCTGCCTCAGCTGTGTGCTGGTGGTGGACGCTGCCCCTGGAGCAGGACCTTGGGACCAGAGGCCCCACCCTTAGCCCATTCCCCTCCATAGGTGTCCCCGGGTGTCATTGCCAACCCCTTTGCGGCAGGCGTCAGCCGCCGGAACAGCCTGGAAAGCATCTCGTCCATCGACCGGGAGCTGAGTCCCGAGGGCCCTGGCAAGGGCAGAACGCAGCCAGAAGCCCTGGGGCCGGGGAGCCCGAGGCTGCCAGGCTCCAGCCAGAGTCCGCCCTGCCCGCAGGAGAAGGGGCTGCCAGGACAGACCTCGCAGTGGGGACCAGAGGCTGTGGTGAGTGTCCGGGGCCCCCCACTCTGTGCTCCAGGTCTGTCTCCACACATGGCCCTCTCCTGGCCAGGGCAGTGCAGGGGTGCACACAGCCCGAGGTAGCTGGTGGCTGTGTCCCAGACACCCACCTGTGCTGGGTCACAGAGCCCCTGGTAGCTCTGTGCTTGCTGCTCGCCAGAGTCGGAGCCCCAGGGGCCCAGTGCTGGCAGCGCACACAAGGGGCACCCCTGGCCACCCCTTTCACTTTTGGTATTTCTGCCTGCCTACCTGTCCACCGGTCCCATCCCTGCCCGTGCTCCCTCTCCTCACCTGAGACCCGCAGCACGGAGCTGCTGCATGGGCTCCACTGGGGGCCCTGCGCCCAGGGTGAGGGCTGCGACAGCTGCAGAGGGCCCGTGCCTGGGGGGCGGGGGCAGAGACGAGGGCAGGCCGAGTTGGGGGCCTGTGAGGGAGGACTGGCCCAGGGTACCCAGAGCTCTGCCTTCCTGCTTGACACGGGTTAGACTCAGACCAGCCTGTAAGGCCTGACTGCTGTGCCCTCAGAGCGGAGCACACTAGCTGGGCAGAGCTCGTTCCTGTGAGGGGATCCCCCCCTTGCCCGCAGACTCACTGAGTGTGCTGGCTGCCAGGGACCCTGAGCCGCTCCCTGCCGGTGGAGGCGGACTTGGAGGTCTCAGGGCAGAGGCAGCTGCCGGGCACCGGAGCCGTCGGGGGTCCCAGTGGGGCAGAGTGCAGGCCGCTGTGGGACAGGCCAGAGCAGCTGCAGGGAGCCCCGGAGGCCCAGTGCTGACAGCTGGGTGGGGGTGGACGCTGGGCAGGATGGACATTCAGTCCTCATTCCTCCCTCAAGAGGCCTAAAACAACCCTCCCAAAGGCTGCACCCAGCCAGCCGCTGCTGGGAGACCCCTCAGGAACGTGAGTAGTTGAGTAGTGGCCTCCAGAAGATACTGCAGGGGGAGACTGGGCTGTGCGAGGGCCTCAGAGAAGCGGGGAGGTGATGAGCACCCCAACAGCTTGGGGCTGAGGGAGCCTGCTCAGGGATTTTGGTGCAGACCCTCCGTCCCTTGGCCAGGAACTGAGAGCAGGAAGCCCGTAGGAGGGTCAGGGGCCCAGTGTCCTCTGACCAAAAGGGGGCATAGCTGAGGGTGGCTGGCATCCCTGGCTCAGGCACCTTTGAGGTGCATGGGGAGGGCGGCTGGTGGCTGGGGTTGGGGGTGTCTCTGGAGCAGCCAGCTTCCCTGGCCTCTGTGTTCCCTGGTGTGTTGGTAGGCAGTGGGCTGGGTCCTTGGCCGAGGGCCCGTAGCTCCCCATCACCGTCTATCCTGGGCCCCTGTTCCCAACCCCCCATCCTCTTCTGGCTGGCTGTGTGTCTGTCTCTGTCTGCCACAAAGCTCCACACCACCCTGTGGCACAGTCCGCTGCCATTGACTGATGCCTGGCTACTCAGCCCAGGCTGCTGGGGTTGGGGGCAGAGGCCGTGCAGGCCACGTCCCAGGCCTACTCCATCCCACTGGTGTTATGGGGGGAGAGGGAGAACCTGCTGGACTGAGGCCGCAGTCTTTTGGGGAGAATTCTTCACACTGGCCCATCTGGGGACATCCCCTGGGCTGGGATCAGGTCAGAGAACTGGAGACTGGCCTCTGCTGCCAAGGCACCCCAACACCCAACTCCTGTGGGCCCCAGCCCTTCCCTACCCTCACCCTGCCCACCCCCAGCGCATCCAGGTTCCATTTGGGGCAACTGGAGGGAAGATGGCTGAGGCCCCCTATTCCCCTGGCCGCCAGCAGGTGAGTGCCTGCCAGGTAGGGATGGACAGTACAGACAGAGCCAGTGTGCTGGGCTCCCTCCTTGGAGAGTTGGTGCCAGGGAACAGCACCTCTCTCAGATGTTACCCATCACGGTGAGGTGCCCTGGGCACCCTCCTGGCTGGAGCTGGCTGGCAGTCTGGTCGGGGAGCTCCCTGTGGCCACCCTGGGCAGGCAGGCTGGATGGGCCACGCCACCTGCCCCAGTGCCTGGCTGCCGCACCTCTGCTCGTCTGTCAATCCCTGGGGGTTGGCTCAGCCCTGCCACATGCTCCCCACGGTCCCACCTGCCGAGGTGCCCTGGCTCTGTGGCATGGAGGAAGCCAGGCCGCAGGCAGTGCCCCTCTTGCTGCGCTGCAGGGTGCGGGGGGTACCAGTACCAACTCAGTTCCTGGCCTCTGCCCTACAGAGCAGATGGGGCATGGCAGCCCCCTACTGTGGGCACCTACGGCACCATCCACCGTGGCTCCATTTCTTTTCCCCCACCACCCTCATCCCCTTAGTGACCCCCTGATCCTTTCCTCTGGGCCCCACCCCTGCCCTTTGCAGACAAAACCAGGGGTGATCCAGCCACTGGCTCAGGCCTGGCCATGGGACTCCCTGGCCCCCAGGGGCAGAGGTGATTCCTGCTTTGTGAGTTCCCTGAACCACAGGGGTGGGAGTGGGAGGCTGTGAGCAGGGACATCTGGAGGCTGGGCTGCTGGTGATTCCCCGGGACAGCTGTCCCAGCATGGCCCACTGTGCCCCTGCCCCCCAGCCTCCCTCCCCACCATCCCCTGAAGAGCTGCCCGTCAACGTGAAGCAGGCCTACAGGACATTCGCTGCTGTACCTGGCCTGCACCCACCCCAGGACACCCCTGCCCAGGTATGTGATGGCAGCCCGCCTGCCCCTGCTGCATGTGCCTTCGGGGTGTGTGCCCAGGGGAAGCCTGCCAGCCGGGTCTCAGAGCCTGCCCCCTCAGCCCTCCACGCCTGGGCCTACGGCCTCACCGGAGCAGCTGTCTTTCCGTGAGCGGCAGAAGTACTTTGAGTTGGAGGTGCGCGTGCCCCAGACTGAGGGCCCCCCAAAGCGCGTGTCACTGGTGGGTGCTGATGACCTTCGTAAGATGCAGGAGGAGGAAGGTGAGCCGGTGGGGGGTCAGCAGGCTGGCCTGCCCCGAGGTCGGAGGCTGAGCCTGACCTGCGCACCTCCTCACCCCGACCCCCAGCCCGAAAGCTGCAGCAGAAGAGGGCGCAGATGCTGCAGGAGGCAGCCGCTGCGGGGCGCGCCCCGCACAGAGAAGACCCTCCGGAGGAGGAAGAGCCGGAGGAGGAGCCGCCCTGGGCTGGCCCAGGCCCTGGCACAGGGTGAGGGGGTGAGGGGCTGGCATCTGGTGTCTCCCCAGGCAAGCTCCTCCCACTGGTGCCCCACCTACCTGGCCCTCCTTTCCTGTCCCCTGGTCCAGGCTCTGCCCCACGTCCCCTCTGCCCCACGTGGGAGGCAGCGCCCCTGTGCGGACAGCCAAAGCTGAGAGACGCCATCAGGAGCGGCTGCGTGTGCAGAGCCCTGAGCTGCCCACACCCGAGCAGGCCCTGTCCCCTGCAGAGCGCCGTGCCTTGGAGGCCGAGAAGCGGGCACTGTGGAGGGCTGCCAGGTGAGGCTCGTCCACCCACACTGCCCCCTGGCACCCACTGGGCCCTGCCCAGCCCCACCCTTCCACTCTCCTGCAGGATGAAGTCTCTGGAGCAGGATGCCCTCCGAGCACAGATGGTTCTCAGCAAGTCCCAGGAAGGCCGGAGCAAGCGCGGGCCTCTGGAGCGGCTGGCTGAGGCCCCTTCGCCTGCACCCACCCCGTCACCCACCCCCTGGGAAGGTCCGTGTGTCCAGGGGGAGGCGTGGGGCTCAGCCTGCAGTGAGGACCTCGCCCAACACCCATTTCTTGTTCCCCCAGACCTCAGCCCCCAGACCAGCACCTCCCTGGGACACCTGGTGAGGAGCAGTGGCTGTTGCCCTCCTGCAGTTCCCAACCCCCGCGGCGTGGGGGCGGGGACCCAGACTGCACCCCCACCCCTCACTCTGCTCGCTCTCTGCCTCTCTCCCCTCCCGCTGTCCTTGCAAGGCCTTGTCTGGGAGGAAGTTTGACTACAGGGTGTTTGCAGCCCTCCCTTCTTCCAGACCTGTCTATGACATGCAGGTACCAGGCCATCTTGGCCCTTCTGCAGGACGGCCCTGCACGGTTCCTGCCACCTTTCCACCTGTGCCTGTCACCCAGCCCATCCCCCCCAACACCTTCCCCGTCTGTCTCTGCCGCCAGTCCTGTTCCTTGGGTGTGGGGCATGCCCCCTCCCCCACCCCTCAGCCAGATTCACTGGGTGGTTTCAGGCAGGCCTGGGCCAGAGCCCTGACCCAGCCCTTCTCCCCATCACAGTCCCCAGATTTTGCTGAGGAGCTGAGGTCCTTGGAGCCGTCTCCCAGCCCCGGTGAGTTGGTGGGCCAGTTCCAGGAGTGCCCCCAGGGTGTCCACCCACCTCGGCTCACTCCCCTGCATCTGCCCTCCAGGCCTGCAGGAGGATGGGGAGGTGGCCATGGTGCTTCTGGGCGGGCCCTCACCAGGTGCCGTGGGCCCCGAGGAGGTGACACTGTGCAGCAGCCGCCGCCCCATGCGGCCAGGACGCCGTGGCCTGGGCCCAGTGCCCTCCTAGACGATTGGTGTACCTTCCCCCGCCCCTGACTTGGGGTGGGGGCCCTGCCAGCTCCATCACCACCCTTGCCCGAAGTCTTTTTAACCTGGGTGTTAGAATTTTAAAGAGACCCCTCAGGAGTCCTGGCCGCTAACTGCCCCCTCCCCAGCCAGGACCTCATGTCCGTGCAAGACTGTAACTAGTGATATTTGTACAACCAAAGACTCTATTTTGTGGTTTAAGGAGAATAAAATTGACTACATTTTACCTGCCGTCCGTCTGTCCACCTACCCACCCATCCCTCCAGCCCTTCAGAGGCGGGGGCCCCTGGCGGGGAGGGTGGGGGAAGGTGTTTGGGGGAGCGGGGGCGCGGCCGACTCCCGCGCCCCTCCCGGCCTTTCCTCCCCGGTGCTCTCGGGAGCTCGCAGACCAGGGCCTCCAGCTGGGGCTCCGCTGGCTGGGGCCGCGGACGTGAACGCGCGCACAGCCCCACCCCAGGCGCGTGCACACAGCAGGACGCGCACAGTCGCGGACCCAGCGAACTTTACTGGGCCGGGCTCTGGAGGCCTCCACTAGGAGGCTGCACGAGCACCCGGAGCAGGGCCGGTAGCTGCTCGGCCGGCGGCCACCACACTTTGGTGACGGAAAAGAGGCGGAAGTGCCTCCGGCGCGCCGCCTGGAACAGGGTGGGGCCGTACTCGGGCCGTCGGGGGCCGCAGCAGCGACAGGTGCCTCTCCGGCTCCAGCAGCCCGCGGCCCAGCAGCCCCTGCCCCAGGCCGGGCTGCACCGCCTCCCGCTGCCGCGGCACCCCCGGGAATAAATCCGTCTCGCGCAGGTGGGGCACCAGCGGCTTCCCGTTCCCGCGCGCGGGGCGGGGCCGACTTAGGGAGAGCGTCAGGGGCGGGGCGGGGCCGAGGTTAGGGGCGGGGCTGAGGTGCCCCGCCTTCTGCCCGCCTCACCTGAGCGCCCCCGGCAGCGCCAGCCGAATCCTCTGCGGCCGCAAGTGGTCCGGGTTCACCGTGTCCACGTAGTTGGTGTCCTGGAAGCGCAGGAAGGTGGCCGTCTGGCCTGAAGGTTCGACGACAAGAGGCCGTCTGGGGGCGGCCATCAGGTCACTGCGGTCCGCCCAAACCCTCGGTTCGGCCCTTGCCGGGCCCGGACCACTGACCGGCCGTCGGAGCGCATGCGGTCGCCCACGCCCTTCATGAGCACGTCGTGCAGCTCACCGACCTGGCGTTTCAGCCCGGGCGCCTCCTCGTCTGCGGGGCTGGGGGTCCGGAAGGCCCGCCCTCTGGCCCCCTCGCTGGGCCCGGCCCCGGCCGCAGCCCGAGCCCCGCGCACCGGTCCTGGGCCTCTGCGCCTCCAGCCGCAGCCTGACCACTTGGGCCTCGGCGTCCTCGACGGCCTGTGGCAGGGCCGGCCGGACTCCTGAGCGGGCCCGCGGCCCGGCCGCCCCCAGAGGCCGCTCGGAGGGGAGCCGCTCGCCCGCCCGCGCCCGCAGTGGTCGCACGCGGCGAGCCTCCGGCCGAGCTCGCAGTAGGCGCGCTGCAGCGGCGGCCGGCGCCCCCCGCTCCGCCCCGGCCGCCCATCCCCGCGAGGCGCCGCTGGGGCTCCCCGGCCGGCTGCCGCACCCTGAGGGCGGGCCTGCGCACGTCCGCCAGCCCCGCCGGCCGCCGCGCGCCTCCCCGCCGCCGCCGCCTGCTGCCGCTCGGCCTCCCTGCTCTGGAGCATGGCCGCCGTGCGGCGCAGGTCCCACGACGGCAGCACGCTGGCCACCGCGACCAGCGGGGCCGCCCGCGGCCGACGACGCCGGTCAGGCGCCCGGCGTGGGCGTGGCCCGGGAGGAGAGCGGTACCCTGGCACGCTGGAGGCAGGGCACCGACCGCAGAAATCGGCGCTCCCCATCGCCCGCGACGGGCCCGCCAGCCTCCACCCGCAGATGCTGCGCCCCCGAAACGGAGACACCGGCGCCCTCTGGTCTCCCTGCCAGCACCAAACGGCCTCCGCGGCCCCCTCCCCTCCTCCCTGCACGCCCGGGCTTCCCGCCCGCCGCCGCCAGCCGCGAGGTCAGCGCACCCCGGGCCCGCCTGCGTTCCCGGCCCGGACTGCCTCCCGAAGACGCAGGCCTTCGGCCAGCTTCACCACGACCTCCCCTGCAGGACCGATGGAGTTCGGGCGATATTTTATTTCTTGACTCAGGTGGTTACAACGTGAGTATTTCCTTTGTGGTCAAGCCACACAAACCGCGATTTGTAGTGTTCAGCATGGGGTTTGTATTTTACAAAAGTTCAAAAATGTGTAGAATCCAGGAGTGGATTGATTAATGAGCAGCCGGATAAATGACGAAAGAGAAATACATGGAAGAGTGAACAGACGTGAATGAGCCAATAATTCAGTAGCTCAAAGAGAATCTGAATGCTCACTTCAAAGAACAGCTGTAATTCATTGCGCACTAAGTACCAGGAACTGTGCTAAGGAGGATCATTATCTCATCAATCTCGAAAAACTGGGACTGTTAATCAGCCCTTTTATGAATGTATGGAAACCGAGATTCAAGTTCAATAATTTGCCAAAGGTAGTTTGTAAGTAGAAGAACTGGATCAAATGAGACAGTAGGTGCAAAAAGAGACGGAATTTAAAAATGTAACGAGTGCATTTCCGAATGAGCCAATGCATAGATGATGAGTAGAGGAGTAAATTGATGAGGTAAGTGGTAAAGCATGAGGACTAGTAATCGAATGAATGGAAGAAATGATACGTGAAAAAATGAATAGATGAATGGATTCAATGAATTAGATAAGTAGATGGTTGAGCAAATAGATGCACTGATAGATGAGCTCAAAGATGCAGCACAAGTTTTGCCTATCACATGGAAAACAAAGTGCGTGACCCTGGAGCACGTGATTGTGAATGAAACATGGCTCCTGCTTTCTCAGACTCTTCTGCCCAGTGAACAGCACAAATGTGCATATGAATGGACGGACGGATGTTTGAGTTAATAGATTGTAAGTGAATAAATGAGGGATGATTTCAGATGGTATAAGGGTGAAATGAATAGAGTGGGTGGATGGACAGGTAAGTTTGTGAATAAGTAACTCAAGTTAATGGGAGAATGTATGAATCAGTGAAAAACTAAAATCAACCAACGAAAAAAGGCTGGATTAAATAGGTACATTTATGAAGACAGTGATGGACAGATAGCCATAAAGGGATGATGGATTGATAGGTGACGGTTGATGGAGTTCCTTACCTCTTTTTTATCACTACTGATTTTCTGTCTACTTGTTTCACCAATTGTGGAGACAGAGATGGTGAAATCTACTGTAATTGTGGATTTCTCTTTCCTTGTGGTTCTATCAGTTTTTGCTTCATATATTTTGAAGCTCTGTAAGTAGCTGCATAAACATTTAGGATTCTTTTTTTTTTTTTGAGAGGGTATCTCTCATATTTATTGATCAAATGGTTGTTAACAACAATAAAATTCTGTATAGGGGAGTCAATGCTCAATGTACAATCATTAATCCACCCCAAGCCTAATTCTCATCATTCTCCAATCTTCTGAAGCATAACGAACAGAAGTGATTGATTCTTTAAGCTTTTGCATGCCTGTAAAGGTCTTTATTTTGCCTTCAGTTTTTATTTATTTATTTTTAAATAAAGTATCACTGATATACAATCTTATGAACATTTCACATGAATATTGTGATTTCAACATTCACCCATATTATCAAGTCCTCTCCCCACCCCATTGCAGTCACTGTCCATCAGCGTAGTAAGATGCCCCAGAGTCACTACGTGTCTTCTCTGTGCTGTACTGCTTTCCCTGTGACCTATCTATATTGTGATTGCAAATACAGTGT